CGTGCCTCAGCAGCAGCGGGACCGCAATCGCAAGATCACAGGCACGGACACACTCCTCGGAGCTCTTTGACGCCCTCCGTATCAGTCTCCTCGGAGAAAGACAGGCGGAGCGTTGCGCCCTCTCCCCGGTGGGAAGGACTGCAGCGTGGGCTTCCGAAACCCCGAGAGCGGGCGCCGGATCTGGTGGTTAAGGAAGCAGATAGGGACTCGCCCGTCTACATTCCCTCCACTGGATCCATATGCGAAACCCACGAGCACAGCCGCCGCTCTGCCTCTGCGAAAGCAGGGCCGGCGCCGCTAGGAAAGCTAGTGAAGGCTCCCTCCTCAAAGAGAGCCCTCTGAGAGCGAAGCAAGGCAGTAACAAACGTTACCAAAGCGGGCCGTCAGCTCCCTCGAGAGCTGACTCTGCATACACACACACAGAGCGCTTGCTGAATGACAGAAACCTGACGCCGGTTTCACCGCACGTGCTTTTAAGCTTCCTGCTCGCTCCGTCACCCCGCCCGTGACGTCTCGCCCATCCATTGGACTGATTACACACATGGTTCAGAGCCGGTCACGCTGAAGGGCGTTCCCAAAGCGTCCTCCGACGCAGCTCGAGTTCCTGAAGAGGAAACACGATTTCCATTTCCAACACATGCAATAGACTGGACCAGTTGACCAATCAGAGCAGACTAGAAAGGCGGGATTTAAAGAGAAATGAACTAAAACAGAGCGTTTCAGTCAGAAGATGAAAAAAGTGCTGCAGGATGAGGAAAAATAATGTATTTTTTGAGCTTTAAATCATGTAAATGTGTACTAGCAGACCGCAAAAATAAAATTTTGAACTGAGCATAATATGGGTACTTTCAATACTGTACATTTATGTCTCATGGTCTTGTTGTCATTCACTGCAAATGAAATATGGTGTCTACCCTGACTAAGGTCTATTGACTGTTCCACTTGTGTAACCCATAAATGATTTGGCATGCAGCCTGCTGTATTTGTCCCAATTCAGAACTCCTTCAGCCTGTGCGGAGTAGATGATGAAGCCTGGTCTAGAGCGCAATGAACTGTACTAAAGCCCAGCAAATCGCAAGCCAGCTTGTTAATTGCCTTTTTCTTATCTCTCCATGTCCAGTGTGTATGGCTGTCCTGTCGCCAAGAAGAGAAAACCCCTGGAGAGCCATGCCCTGGAGCCCTCGCCCAAGAGGACGGTCTTTCTAACAGTCATAGACCAGCCGTCAATGGAGGAGATGGATGAAAAACAGGAGGAGGAGGAGGAACAAGATGATGAGGAAAATGAAGATGAAGAGGAACCGGAGGAGGAATATACTGACAACGAGGACCAATATGAACAGGAAGAGGTAGAAGTGATTAATGGAGAAGAGGAAGAGGTGGAGCAGGAAGAAGAGGAAGTGGTGGAGGAGGAAGAGGAAGAAGAAGTAGAAAGAGAGTGGGAGGATGATGAAGATGAAGATGAGGAAGATGAGCAAGAGGATGAGGAGCAAATTCAAGAAATAGGTGAGAGTCTGAATAAATCCACGAAAGATGGACTTTTGATTTATTATGCAGGCTTATTGGCTCATATACACTGATAAAATATTAACATCTAAATTAACTAAATTAATATCAAAACTATTATTTAGTATTACTGAATCAATCTTAAATACATGAATTTGTACCAGCAAAACTCATTTTTATGAGGTAAATATGCTAACAATTGCAGGATGATATAGTGAAAATATGGAGATTGAGGAGGAAAAAGAGCAGCTCAACTTTATTCAGAGGCCCAAACCAAGCAAAAATATGCATTTTGATGCAGATGTTGATATTTATATATAGCAAAAAGGTAACATGAAATTCTGATAATTTGTCATGTAAATAAATCAATCTTTATACCAATATAACATAATAAAATGATATAAATATCAGTCGTCACTCTGTATCTCCAATTATTGATGATATTTAAATGCATTGTTTGATGATCAAAATGTATAATGCAATGCAAAACAATGATGATTGAGAGATGAACAAACAAATGTTCTTCAAAAGCCTGATGATCATATATGAGACTCACATTTAAACATGTGATAATGATAATCAAGTAAAGCTAAGTTGCTTCGGTCCAGTAAGTGTTCATCTTGCAATATTTCTAACAATATAAGCTATTCACACATTTGCTTTATGAAATCAGTAAATATTTCACAGCAAAAAGACACATGAAGCATGAGCTGAAATTGTACCTTTTACTTGATAAAAAGTCTAAAGTATCAAGACATGTGGTAGATTGTATACAACATGTTTAACATGTTGATCATTTTAAACCTTGTTTAAAATGTGCATATCATATATAATACAGTAGGCTTTAAAAGGTTAATCCGGCACCAGAATGTTTTATTTTTGGGTTTCGAAACAAAACCAGAGCTGAATGTGAAGTGAGTATTTCAGCCTCCAGAGGGGTAGAGGAGGTAATTTGGCAGTTAGGCATATTTGGAAGAAGGTCACCGTAATGTGAGGTGCAGTTGGATGATTTTGCTGTGACCTTCAGCGCGGTCTCAGTATCAGGCTAAAAACAGAGGTGCTCAGTTCATCAACACACCGCCTACTGAAGGTGAGCTTTGAAGTGCACCAAAGCCCTCAAATATTACCAACAGTCTGATTGTTTCAAAAAGTTACAAAACTTTAAGGAAACTTGTTAAGTTAAATATATATGTTTCCATTATTTAATCTGAACAACAAATTCAGGTTCTTAAACTAATACCCCCGATTCTAAATACTGTGTGTGATTACAGTTTTGCAGAGAGTATTGGCTTATTTACTGCTACTAATCTTAGCATGCACATACATTGTTGCATCACAGTAAGTGTCGAATTCACATTCTCAATAATTTGTTTAAAACATTCAAGAATAAAGATTATAATTTCAACAGAAAGATTCAAATTAAACAATATATTTAAAATATTCATGAAAATATCAATTTAAAGATTTTCATTTCAAAAGAAAGTTCTGGTAATATAACTTGTGCATGCTTTGTATATACATACATACATTATTATTATTTATTTACAAATAATCCCATTATCTTGTGTGCAATTACTGTTCAGCCTTGTTATTTTCAGTGTTATATGGTGGTAACCGCTAAACTAAATGTCATTATAATTATCACAAAATCAATATTGTTGAGAAAATGTTTTAAGAAATCTATAAAGAAAAGTGAAATTATATATAGTACTACAACTTGTATATCTAGACCTGAAGCATCCATGTTGTCTGATTCATGAGACAACAACAATTGTTTCGGTATTCAGTGGGTCGATTCTGGTGGTCTGAGGATGTCTGCTAAATCAGGGAGTAGGCGTGAGATGTGTCTCAGACATGTCTCATCCACTTCAGACAGCTCAGCCAGCCGCACATGCAATCAGACCTGACAGAGCCTTCTAGTCTAATTAACAATCAAACTCCCACATGTATTGGCATTAACCCTGTTTTCTGTGCTGTGTTTTCTTACCTAAGATATTGGCTTTGTCTCAAAACCTAGTGAGCTGACTGCATGAGCAGTTGTCGACAGCGTGTTAATTGAATTAGAACCTTATAAGTAACTGGTTTCACTTTTCACAGGCATAGCTTCATTAACAGGTAATCACGCGCTGCAGTTTGCACTTGACTAATGGCGCTTTTCCACTGCGTGGTACGACTCTGCTCGGCACGGCTCAGTACGGCACGGCACGGTTCGGCTCGGCACGGTATGCGTTTCCACTGCAGTTCAGTACAGCTTTAGAGTGGGCGGGATTATTCACATGTCGTTATAGTTGCGCCGCCTCTACTACCACGACTCCTAAAAAAACTTTTCATTCCGCGTCGCCCTATCAATGACGCAGGTAGTGACGATTCTCTCCGGCCAATCCGTGATCAGCAGAATTTACACGTCACGTTTTGGTAACGGTACGGTTCACTTGGAACCCCAGCCGAGGTGGTACTAAAAAAAGTACCAGGTACCAGGTACTGTACCCAGTGGAAAACCCCCAAAAAGTGACCCGGACCGAGCCGTACCGTGCCATACCATGCAGTGGAAAAGCGCCATAACAAGCTATTGTTAGCATGAAGCTAAGCTAATGACATTAGCACGCCTAAATATTGTGAAAATAATTAGATGGAGTTAATATGCATCTTCTATTGACACTTTTGAATCTGCAAAAAAAGAAGATATATTATAAAATTCATCAGTTGAATGAAATTCAATTTTGGCTGCAAAGCAGCTCTTCAGAACACGAAAGAGTCATTATTCAGCTAAATTTAGTTCAGTGTTGATTCAGTTCAGTTCATTTACAGTGCCAATGTTGCAAAGTGCATCAATTATGAAACAAATGAAACTGTAAAGCAGTTCTTCAGAAGACAATAGTTTTTATTCAGCTCAATTCAGTTCAATGTTGATTCAATTATGTTCAATAACTGTGCAATTTTTGGGTTTGGAATGCAAACATAAAGGTTTGATTATAGAACCAGCCTATAATATTTACAAAAAAATCTGTTTGCAATAATGACCAGCTGATTTGACACTACGCCTGGTTTTATACCTACTAAACCTATTTTATGAAATATTGATTGGACTATTATATTGTTGATTTAATATTACATTACAATATGTTCAATATCACACAAGAGTGCTGCTGTTTTGAAAGTCAGCATGGCACAGGTAATCTAAGATTGATTGATATTCATATTTTTTTTTGCTCGGTCAACAAAAAGTTAACATTTTTTAGGTAAATGTTTATTTATTTATTTAAATCTAATTGTCCCTATTTTAAGTTCCACGCATCTCTTTCTTTCATATTGAGTACTTGTTCTTCCGAGTTTTAGTTCTTGCTCAAGTCTTGTGAGTGCATGGACAGTCTATACTACAGAGCGTCCAAGAATGTTTGGGTTTCACACTAGATATTTTGCTGCAAAACAAGTCAATCGAAGTTTGTTTGATTAGTGTGAAAGCTTTTTTTATACTTGGTTTTGCACTGTTTTAGGGGGGCGTGGCTGACTCTTAACTTTTATAAAGAATATCTCTTTGGATTTGAGACTTTAGTCTTTGCAACTTAGAGTGTTTCTTTATTCTTCACGCATCTTGCTGTGCATCCACGGCAGACAGACTCAAGTAACCACACTGTATACTTTAAATTTTGAGAATAAAACCAAATCTACAAAAAAAACATTTGTAAAAAGACGGAAGTGAACAACTTTATCTCATTACAGTATTAAAATAATATTGGACTTAATAGAAATAAAGAAAAACTTGAAATGGCAAAATGTTTGTTGTCTCATCACATTCCATCATTTTTTCCGTCAAATTTGACCAAAATGTCAAGTAGTTTGCATCACTGGATGTTACTTTTTAATATTTCTAACACCGATGTCAAATATTAAATGTTTCGATACTTGCATCTTATAGTCTTTCACTGTTAAAATGGAAGCATTGCATTAACTTCTATGAACAGTAAAGCCCACCTTGATTTGATTGGCCTTCTCAAACATTTTGACATTGATGATTGCTGTTAGACCGTTGAGCTGAACTTTGTCATCCTAAAAACAAAAAGAGCAGCAACAAGAATAGAAAATATTGAGAGGGACAATTGGGCAATTTCTAAATTTTGGGGGGAACAATGTTGAATACGAACATACTTAAAACAAAATCAAAGAATGAACAGGTGTGATGTTACTTTGAATGAAATCAGGCCAAAACAAAGTTAATTTGGAGTTCACTTTAGGAGTTCAAAACAACTTTCTAGAAAAGTTCTGCTCTGGCTTGTCACCTTTGAACTCCCATAGATCTGTGATGATGATGATGCAATAGGTAGGTGTGGCTCTGGGGCTCCGCCCTCTTTGACGTGGAAATCTTCTCTGGTTCATTTCCTCTGTTCAGTTTGTTAGTAAAAACATGAACTCACTGGGGAGCTGCTTTATAGTATAAACAACAGACAATAACGTGCGTATATCTGAGCCTTGAGGTGCTTATGGCCACGATACAAGGATGGTTCAGAGTCAAACATGTGGTTGGGTATGGAATGAAACTTTGTTTTGGATAATGCAGTTGAACCAAGAGTTATCTGTTGAGCTGCTACAGCTGGTATAGCAGTATTTGTTTGTCTTTCACAGAGAGTGACCATAATTGCAGTCCCAGCAGAACAAGCCCCTCCATGGAGAAGGACAACAACAACAATGATGAATATGAAAACTACGATGAACTGGTGGCCAAATCTCTGCTTAACCTGGGCAAGATCGCAGAGGACGCCGCTTATCGGGCCATGACCGAGTCCGAGATGAACAGCAACTCCTCAAACAGCGCAGAAGAGGAGGAGGAAGAAGATGAAGAAGATGAGGATGAGGAGGGCTCAAGGAAAGGTGAGCTGAGTCTAGATGTAAACAGTGATGTGGTAAGGGAGACTGTGGACTCTCTAAAGCTCCTGGCGCAGGGTCACGGAGTCACGCTCTCAGAAAACCTCCACGGACAGCCGTTTCATGATGATGGGAGCGAGAACACGGACTGCGATCTAAACGGAAATGGATCCACTGGTAATGGACTCAGTGGTAAACCCACCACTAATGGTCAGATGGCAGAGAAAAGTGACGAGGAAGTTTGTCTGAGCAGTTTGGAGTGTCTTCGCAACCAGTGCTTTGACTTGGCACGCAAGCTAAGCGAGACCAAACCAGCCGAGCGGCTCATCAGTAACCAGCAGGTAGGGATGACTGCTTTTTACAATTATTTATGTTAACCCAGCTAACTGGGAATGTTCTCAGAGCTTTGGGGAATGTTCTGGCAAGGTTCTCTCAAAGTTATGAACAAGCGTTCTTCCAGTAACATTAATAGAGCGCTCATTCAAAGTTATCTGGTCTTTCATAATGTTCCAAAAATGTTCTTTATGTATCATCGAAGTGATGTTTTTATTTAAATGTTCTAACTACCAACTACTTTACCATGTTCAGAGAACATTCAAAATTAATGTTCCCATAATGAGTTTATTTTTACATGAGCAAATAGCATTGTTACAGAGCGTGCTGTGTTTCGTTTGTGCTTACTCTTGTTGCCATGTCCCCCTTTTATAAACGTCTTTAGGCTTGTTGTTTGGACTATTCTCATAAAGTGAGCCACTGTATGGAGTTTATAAGGTGGGCAGCTTTACCCCAAAAATACAGCATTTAAACTTTTTAAGGTTTATTTTGGGATTGTTTTTCCTTGCAACATCTGGCAACACAGTCTTTTTAGGCCCTATGGGCTGGTGAGTGAGTGCAACTGTGGAACGAGACAGACCTGTGTCGAAATATGCAAGTAAAAATTGTAATTCTTAAAGATTGAATGTAGTTGTCACTCCTGTAATTTGCAGCATCTACATGGCCATTTCATTATTAAATTAAAATAAAGGCCATTTTTCTTGTGTGTAAAGAACAGATCTCGCTCTCAAAATTGTGATGATTGACATCACAGCAACATTCTGGCATCTTGCGTGTTTGGTGTTTGCTATATTTGGCCAAATTAATATTACAGGGACCAAAGACTCTTATGTTTGCCAGTTTTAACTAAACCACCATTGACAGAAGTGTTGTGTTTTATTTACATTTGGAAGGCTGCTCAGCAGAGTACTTTCTTTCAGTGTTGCCATGTCCACTTATTATAAATGTCTTTGGGCTTGGCTCATACAGCGATCTTGTTTATGGAGTTATTAAAGTGGACAGGTGTGGATTGCACTTTTCTGGTCTTATTTCCAATATAAAGCATGTAGAGTTATTTGAGTTTATTATGGGCTTGTACTTATTTGCTTTTTTTTGTAACGAGATCTGGCAACACAAATGAGTCAAGGCTTTTACCTCATTCTCTGATGTTTTTTGCTCTGCACAGAACAGAGACACATTTCTGATGCATGTTTGAATACATCATCAACAACTAGTTGGTCAGTTTGGTTCTGTACTATCTGTGGAATTTTTGTAAATGCGGTTGCCACTACCTTAATTTTTCAGGAGCTACACTGTGTTCCATTTACCTCGGAATGCAGACATCGGAGTTGGGCATGACGTCACGCAAGAGTTGATCGCATTCCAGTACACAAGTCGTAAAACCAAGATGGACGAGTCCAATTGATAGCAATAACAGTCATTTTGCAAACACATAAAAAGCCGTATTTTGCACAGACATATTGAAATATCATGTCCACAGAAGGGCCAATAAAAATATATATTACTAGTGTTTAAAAATGTGAGGGGTGTACTCACTTCTGTGAGATACTGTATGTGCGGAGCTGCCATATTGGATTCTGAAATCAGGGTTGTTGCAGCTCATCCAACTTGAGGAGATGTTCCAGTAAAAAGTTTCCTCTGAGAATTGGAATTTCCGACTTCTGAGTACCGCTACTTTGGTTATAGAATGCGATTGCCACTTCTGTAAACTGTGTGGACAGAACTGGATCACATGACAAAAAATGAATTGACAACCAAATTTAGCTGCAGTGTATATGTGGCCTGTAATTACTTTTAAACAGATTAAACAAATTACTTTTAAAACAAATTACTTTTTTATTACTTTTGAACAGATACAGTAATATTCATTGGTCAAAAATCTTACTGTCAGATAACAGTTTACCAGTTAATTAAAGTATATGCATCCCTACCAGGAGATTCATCAGCTTTATCAGGAGGCCCAGCAGCAGCAGCAGCAGCAGCATCAGAGTCCTGAGGAGTCCCGCGTCCTCGAGCGGAATTACTCTGACATGGTCAACCTGATGAAGCTTGAGGAGCAGCTCAGCCCATGCTCCAAGACTTTCTCCAGCTGCGCCGCAGAGCACAAGGGCTTCCAGGACTGCGATGAAGACACCACCTCCGTCACGTCGGACCGCTCAGAGGACGTTTTCGACATGACAAAAGGCAACCTGTCACTGCTGGAGAAGGCCATAGCGCTGGAAACGGAGCGGACCAAAGCGTTGCGGGAAAAAATGGCTTCGGAAGCAGTCAGGAGAGATAGACTGCATTTGCATGAGGATGGTTTGAGGCACAGCTATGCGGAGGAGCGGAAGGCGCGTCTGCACCATGATGGCCTAAAGAAGCCCTACTACCTTAAAGGTAATCTCATATTACATAACACACAACCAGCACTTGAAATTATTTGTCTGTGTTTCTTTGCTCTGAGAGGGGATCCCGTACTGACCCTGAGACAAGCTTTCTCAAACATCTCCATGCCTGCAGTGCAAACAGCAGTGGCTTAATGTTGTTCAAACAGGCCAGCACGGCCACATCACAGGCTAAGCTTGTCAGGCATAAGTAATGGCGATCTGCACGGCTGGGAGAACAGCAAATCTCATCCCAGGGACACAGTCTGTGCTCACGCTGCCTATTTATAAGCCCAGAGAGGAGGTCTGCTTGGAAATATAGCTGTGGCACTGGAGAAACAGGGAAATTAGCCAGTCCTGCATATTCAGAGGAGTTTTCAATGCAACTCCTGGTTTATTTCTTTTTCTGCAGGGACAGAGGAGCCAGATTGACGGATTGTTTTATCCATGAAACAGTGAAAATATTACTCTGACTTTTACAAGCTGAAAAGATCAGTTTTCAGAGAGAATAATTCATAAACATAAAGCAGATATTTGGAAATGGTTAAGTCAGTGTTATTTTAGTAGCACTGAGATAACATTATAGTTTTTATTAGGGCTGTCAATAGATTAAAATTTTTAATCTAATTAATAACATTATCGTGAATGTGTGTGGAAACAACGTGAATGTACAGACATGTCTGTGCCTGTGCATAAATACAATGTGTGATCAGTGCGTCAAGAGCACTCATACACGCATTATTATAACGGACTCACGTGTGCTTACTGTACGACTCCTGTACACCACCGCAATCGTATTTACTTTACTTTAATGCGTCTTTTGATGGCAGTCTTCATCCATCAAAACTTTACTAGCGAGACTGGTTATCAAGTCGAGAAAACGTAGTTTGCGTCTCATCTGGCCATACAGCGGTGGGATGTGTTGACAATCCGTTCAGTCTGTACTTCACACAGCGCGACGTGTGAAGGCTCGTGCTCTTCAGAGACAAACACAGAATATGACAAAACACACTGGAATTAATAGCGCTGTTTTGGACGGATTGTTTGAATGCATTCGCTTACTGGATCAGTGGACTGAAAACGTTCCCGGAGTTTAGCAGCTTAAAATGATCTGATCACAAGCAGAGAAGCAAAATTGGGTTAAAGGGTTAAAATAGTTGTGCTTCAGTAATTTTGCGTTAATTGAGTTAAATTATTTTAACGCGTTAAGGATTGTAAAATTAATCGCATTCGTTAACGCGTTAACGTTGACAGCCCTAGTTTTTATCAATATTTAGAATCAGCTTTTCTGTTTTCTGTTTTCATTTCTAGTTTGTTTTAGTTTCAAAAGTTTTTTTTTATATATATATATAACTATAGTAACTATAACAACACTGATGTTAATCAACACCGATTAAGACTACCGAAATTGAGACCAAGTCTGAGACCAAGACCAGACTAAGAATTTGAAGGTTGAAACCAAAAGAGGCAGAGTCAAGACCGAGACCAGACTAGCTCTTCTCAAATTAAGCTGAATGATTCACATTTACTGTCTGAGAAATGTCTTGATCAAATAATAATACATCGTTTCAGAGGAGATTTTTATTTGTAGGAATTTTCCTTTGGTTTCCATAAGCAAATAAATAAAACACAAGGGAGCTGAAATGAACTTAACCATCTTTATTCAACAAAATATACATATATTTAACATATAGAAATATGATGGAAAAAACGATATGTTTATATATGAAACTAAAGTTAATCAATAAATGAGGGAGTCACAGAATCATTTATTCAACCGATTTGTTCAAAGTAGGTGATTCACAACAGTTCTGCTGTGGATTTGTTTGGAACTATTTTCAGTGAAATAAAGCAAAATTATATCTAAAATGCAAGACACTTAACATTAACTTCAAAAAATCTAAAATTCAAAATCACTTTTGCATCCGTGATCATATTTTTTAAAACACCTCTCTTGCTCTTGTGATATTGTTAATTATAATATAAAAAGCAACAAGTACTTTTTTGCAATCATATCTTGAATTTAGTGGGAATTTGTATACATTTTTGGTGACATATATGACACAATCCCCCTTTAGTGTTTGAAATGGGTACTGCAGTCCAAATTCAAAATATTGGAGAGAGTTGTTTCTCCAGCCACCTCCTCCTCAGGTTCACATGGGTTGCCAGATTGAGGACATGCAACAGGAATGAGGACATTTGAAAATGGAAGGCAACAAGCTTTACTCTGTAACTTGATGTGTTGATTTATCTGCGTTTTGGTCATAGAGCTTTTTAGATGGATGTCGAGACTTTTTTAGGTCAAGTAGAAGCTGTGATCTCTGACCCAGTTCGTTTGCTGGCTTCCATGGCTGCAGTACACTGTGTTTTACGCCAACTGACAACCCGGGGTGTTGAAATCCTATTGGGTAAACTGACAGTGGGCGGAGTCACACAGACCAAAACAAAAACAGACATCCTGACACAGAACGTACATTTCAAAGTTGAATAACTCTCTGTAGCATTGTTTTTCAGGGAAACAAGTATGTGAACTTACTGTTTTCTAAATCTCTGCAAACATATTATGGTATTATTATGCCTTAGAACAGTCAAAAACTAAATAAATAAATACATACATACATACATGCAGTACATTTACATGCAGCACCTTTAATTTCTGACCCGGCACAACAGCAACAAATTAAAAATAAAATACTGATTGCATTTGAAGCAGGAAGTTTTACATCCAATCACAGTAATGATGTTAACAAATAAATCAGACAATGCACCGGCAATTTCATGACATCCCTGTAGTTAAGGTCTTGACCGGTCTTGAAAAAGGAATCCAGAGTCCTCTTATTATGAGAAAAGTTTACAAATGCGGTGGATACCAAGACCTTCAAAAAATAGTCTCGAGACCAGTGATGTCAGAAGTGTCATTTTTGGGTGAACAAACCCTTAAAAACCCATGAGAACTTTCATCCGCTGTTCTCCAGATGAGACAGCACGCATGAAAGGACGTTTGACCAGCATGCATGGCAGACACTATCTCTAATGGCAGAATAATGAGGGACGCTCGGCCATTACACCGCGATAACATCTCGCCAAGGCAGAGATAGCGGCAGATGCTGCCTAACCAGGGGGCATTATGATTTATAAAAAGTGTGGAGGCCTGACAGTTATGGAAGGAGCTCTTCCTTAAAGAAGGCACAAGGCGGAGATGGAAATTGAACAGTATCAGTATGACCGATAACAAACGACAGGACCACTGACTGCACATTAATTATCCACAGACGCTATGGTAATGGGGGCCATTTGCTATGCAAAGCATGGCTTGTCCGGAGCCACAATCAATATCCAGCACTTTCTAATATGTATTCCGCTCGGCTCGGCTGTGCTCTCTCCCTCTCGTTGGTTTTCTCTCTTTTTGAAATGGCTGCAAAGTAGTCAGAGGATTCAGGCTTTATTAAACGGTTAGAATTTTAAAGAAATCATGCACAAAGGTGAATCTCACAGCACCTGTCAAGAACACGTCTGGCTCATATTTTACAAAATCAACAGTATTAAAAAATACCCCATGTGAAAAAGAAATGCACGGTCCCACTTTCTATTAGGTGGCTTTAAATGTACTTACATCAAAAAAATAAGTACAATGTATTTATTGTGTTCATATTGTAGTGCAAAAAACACATTTGCTGCTATCGAGGTGGGATACGGGTAAGGTTAGAGACACGTTTGGTGGTATGGGTAAGTGTAAGGGAAGGGTCAACACTGCAATTATAAATGTAATTACAGAAATTAATTACAGATGCACATGCAGGTATTTTTTTTTTAAATATGAGTAAATTGTAAAAACATTTATGTACACAGTGCATTGTATCAAATTATTAATTTAAATATAAGTACATAGTAGTTAATGCCACTTAATATAAAGTGGGACCTAATGAACTTTATTGTATTGAATGTGCACTTGTAGTGTACTTCAAATCTTAATAGTGTATTTTTTAAATACTACTAAACTGTACTTGCACTTACAATATATGTGTATTGGATGAATGCAATCTGGACGTGCTTGTCATGTTGTCACTTTCAAGTGAGCTTCCAGCGTCAGTTGCGACGCTTCACTGCCATTCATAAATCATGTGTCATGGCCTCATGGATTTGCAAAGTGTCCATTGGATGTACACTTCAGGATTTTGCTGGGGATTTTTGAATACAGTTTTATGAATAGTATATTCAGATATATTGCATTCACCAACTATATTGTAGACAATTGCACAAATTCGGATACGACCCACACCATAAAACACTTCATGCACACCATTCAGATGACTCTTCCCCAAAACACAATTCATTTCTTAATGTTTAAAAATAAAACCAAACTACAGAATTCATCATCATAAAGACAAAAAATTTTTTAGCTAAATTATGACCTGCACATATTATGATATTCACCCCGATTTATGTGTTTGTTACCTGTTGCAAAGCTTTAGTAGTTGTTGTTTAAAGCACATATTCCAAAAATTTGAGTATCTCTGCAAACTATTTTCAATCTCACCAAAACTGAGCCCACGTCTCTCACATGATCGCATGCTATTCCTGTCTGTTTTGAGCTTAAGTTGATACAGGAGGCAACATGATTCTCGTTACCAAGTTACTACATCCTTAAAATTTTAATCAGTGGTAACAGTAGCATACTCGCTCGCTCACTCACTCGCTTGTGCTCTCTCTGTTTGAAACATAACCAATAGCTCTGGATAGCTATCTGGAAGAGATGCACTCTTCAGTCAACACACAGATCCAGGATAGTCACTGCCTGTGCAAACTACACTAACAAGGACAAAAGGTCACAGCTATACTACCGTTCAAATTACAATTCAAAATAACCGTTTTCTATTGTAATATATTATAAAATGTATTTCATTCCTGTGATGCAAAGCTGAATTTTCAGCATCATTACTCCAGTCTCCAGTGTCATGAATATATTATAAAATGTAATTCATTCCTGTGATGCAAAGCTGAATTTTCAGCATCATTACTCCAGTCTTCAGTGTCATGATCCTTCAGAAATCATTGTAATATGCTGATTTGCTGCTCAAGAAACATTTCTGATTATTATCATTGTTGAAAATATTTGTGCTGCTTCATTTTTTTGTGCAAACCATGCTATAGTTTATTTTTCACGATTCTTTGATGAATTAAAAGAACAGCATTTATTTGAACTATATATTTTTGTAATCTTATAAATGTCTTTACTGTCACTTTTGATCATTTTAATGCATCCTTTATAATAATTTTTTTCAAATATATATATTTTTTATATATTACTGACCCCAGCGGTAATATATATTAATGAACGATGCAACACAGAATAAACTGATTAAAAAAATTATTCTGTGGTGAAGTAAATACTGTGGAAAAAACAAATGTAATTTCTATATTGAATAAGTAAGTTCAGTCAAGTTTTTTTTTTTTTTTTTTCAAAGCAAATTCTAAATTAGTAATCAATTCAAGTTAGTAGAAATTAAAGTTTGAACTTTAGAAGTATATTTTACTTGGAATTGTTTGTAACGTTTACAATGATTGTTTGAGTAAGAATCACAGTTATAAAATTAAATAAAACCTACTCAACTTATTAATACTGGTGCTCCCATCATGCCCTGAGAACACTAGTATCATATAATTTCCAAACCTTGAAGCATATGGTAGCAAAGAAACAATTGAAGAAACAATCCTCAAATACGTTCTGATCAAAAATGGAATGTGCTTATTTTTGGATGGTCAAATCTAAATACTGTACATTTGCACTGTTGCAGATATGTATTTGTTTGTTGTATTCTTTTCCCCATGCTGGGCTATCATTGTGGTATCAGTTATTTCAGTTTTGTTCATCCTCAGTTGTTGCAAAAACAACTTTCCTTTTTGCTTTGCCTATTGGTCGATGTTATTTTCTTGTCTAAGTGGGCAGTTCTTGGACAGAATGAGACATTATCAGACCCCTTAAAAATGTATTTACAGTATAAACAACTGAATCCGTAATTAATCCTGTGTGTGTGTGTGTGTGTTCAGATTCTTCACGGTCGGGGAAAAAGGAGAGCCGGTGTCCAACGCCTGGGTGTGACAGCACAGGTCATGTGACGGGTTTGTACCCGCACCATCGCAGCCTGTCTGGATGCCCTCATAAAGACAGAGTCCCGCCAGAAAGTAAGCACTCTACACACTCTTTCTATACTTAAGTGCCACATGTGCTTGCGTGCGTCCTTTAAACCTTTGCCATTTTTCATGCTGGCGTTTATGAAAAGAGGTCATAATCATTGGTTGACTGTGTGTCTGTATGTGTTTGTCTGTGGAACCCAGTCTTCAGTTCATTCTGCATGTTGTCCTCTTAACACACACACACACACACAGACGCAGACGCAGACGGACACGCACACGCATAGACACACACACACACACACACATAGAGACACACACACACACACACACACACAACACACACACACACACAAACATTCTTGTACATTCCTATGCAATACTTTTTCAGCTCTATAAATTTGACAATTTTAGCTATTTGAAATTTAAAATACTACTTCCAAATTCAAAATACTTCAAAATGCTACTTTTTACACGTACATTTTATGTACAGTACATGACTATTAAAACATTAAAATCTACCTTTTTCTGTTGATTAGCATTTATGGCAAAATTTACAGTAAGTAAAGCATATTTTGGTGTCCCTGGAACATAATTCAGGTTTGAAGGTATTAACATTATATATTATGTGGACATGAAAGCGTACTGCATAGTAGGAATGACCCATCTACCCTTCATCTTACGAGAAAACTTCACACAATGGAGGAGCAGTCATCACAAAATCAGACATGCATGAATGCATTTATTGTTTCTGTTGATAATTACAACGCTATCTTAATGGAGGCCAGTTTAATAAGCTGGTTAGATTTCTCATTTAGTTTTAGATGCTCAATTAAATCCAGTTGAATAAACTGTAATAATTATAATCTGATGAAAGAGCTACGGACAGACTTCCTCTCATTCACCTTGAGCAAACCTCTTTCATGCGATTCATTAAAATGCATACAACAATTGTGTGTTTTATTCACCAATAACCAGATGGCAAATCAAACTAACTGATGGCTTTGACTACAGACTGGATTTAGTTAAGAAAAAGCTTTGCTTTTAAAGTGTCCAGATGGCAAGACAGTTTGTGAGCTGGCACAACAAGGGCGTTTTTAGATGGCCATCACTTTAGTGTGGACGGTGACATGTGACACACAGTTACTGAATGATTGGTTCTTTATGCTGAGTCACTTAGTGGCTGTTCTTTCTTTATAATCCTCTTAGTATCTTCGGGTTCTATTAAAAACCATGTTTTGTTGTCTTATGTCATGTCAGTATTGTTGGAGATTTAATTGTTTCATTACTAATAGTACAAACTTCAAAAAAAAAGTTTAAAAAGTCAGTAATTCACTGTAAAATATACAGTGACAATATCTTGCTATATCATCATGATGATAAAGGTGGCACATTAGAAAATCACATGGTCAATCAGAGTTCATTGTAAATGGTCTGTCTATAAAACATGATGGTGCACAGTGTCATAAACAATAAAACAAAACTGTATTACAATAACACACATGACACTATCAGTAATGCCATAAACATCCACTAAATAACACAATATAATATTAAACACCCTAATGCACATGACTAAAAATACATGGGAAATATGAAAAAAAATAAAAAATTCACTACAAATTATACAATAAGTAATTACATAATTTACATTTTCAGGAACCTAAGAAATGTGAATTACTTGAAACTAAATACAAATGTTAGACCAACAGAATTCACCTAGGCTATATGTTGTCCCAACTTGTCAAACAATTTGCTCTCCTCCACATCACGAGTAGACACTCCCCTTATTGCTGATTGGCTACAAGTTTGTTTTGCTATTCGGCCCGAATCAGTTTTCTAAAGTGTTTTTGAAAAATCACATACCCTGCCTTTAAATGTTAAAGGTGTGTGAGTTCCCAGCATGCATTGCAGCATGAACAATTCATGCGGTTACTGTGATAGGAGTTCTTGTTTCGCTGTTTGCTGACTTTTGTTTAATCTTGTCATTATTATTTGCTGTGTTATGATGTTAATAGCTCATCTTTTGGTCGGCGTTCTTGAGATTTGTGTGTCAAGTGTTGATGTTTTTGCTTTGTAAGGTGATGGCACCTGCAGGAACAATAATAGCATAGTTTACTTCACATATTAAGCTATATCTATAACTACTAAAATGACAGATCAGTTTATTGTGTTAATAACTAAATATTTGCTGAACAAGTTGATTCTGTGTGAATTTATTGGCTGAATGAGGCATTTTAAATTTAGTAAACAAACCAATTCAAATTAATTAAAGGGATACAGTAGTTCACCCAAAAATGCAAATAATCTTTCATCACTTACTCATGTTGTTTCAAAGCTGTATGAGTTTCTTTCTTCTGACAAGCACAGTTGACAGTAGCCACTGACTACCAAAAATAAATAAATAATAATAATGATGATAAAAACTATGGATGCCATTGGCTACCATCAAATGACTGGTTGCCAACATTCTTCAAAATATTTTCTTTTGTGTTCAGCAGAAGAAAGAAATTCGTACAGGAACAACTTGAGTAAATGATGACAGAATGTGCATTTTTGGGGTGATCTGTCCTTTTAAGTGTTATTTTTGACAATTTTAAGACAATAGTCAAGAGAATGTATACATCTGAATGCATCAAGTTGCACTGAATTTTTTTTGGTGTTAAGTAAAACCACTCACCTTTACAAAATGACAAAACTTAAAATAAGCTGTACTTGCTTTGAGACACACAAAGCCATGTGTCTCAGTCGGTGGAGGCAGCGGATGCTGCTTGCTGCTCGGTAATGAACATGTCAGAGTATGCTGAAGATGAGGGTGAAGGATTAAGGAGCTGATAATGATGAAGATGAGCACCGGAAGAGCGCTGGTCTGCTCGCCCCGGCCCATGCTCTCTGCCCTCACTCCAGCGTCCTAATGAACAGTAATCTAATTGAGGGAGTTTAGACGGTCATGGACAGAGGAGACAAAGTCATGTACAGATGAATAACAGAGTTTGGGATCAGAGAGAGGCAGTGTTTGGGCGGTGATTTCATTGATTGCTAACGTGTGTCTACTGCAAATGAAAGACAAATGCAGAGCTGAGACAATCATGAGCAGCAGCACCTCACAGCAGATGACTGTGTGCATGAGCTAACGTTAGCTGACGGCTTCAGGTGTTAAGTAAAACCACTCACCTTTACAAAATGACAAAACTTAAAATAAGCTGTACTTGCTTTGAGACACACAAAGCCATGTGTCTCAGTCGGTGGAGGCAGCGGATGCTGCTTGCTGCTCGGTAATGAACATGTCAGAGTATGCTGAAGATGAGGGTGAAGGATTAAGGAGCTGATAATGATGAAGATGAGCACCGGAAGAGCGCTGGTCTGCTCGCCCCGGCCCATGCTCTCTGCCCTCACTCCAGCGTCCTAATGAACAGTAATCTAATTGAGGGAGTTTAGACGGTTATGGACAGAGGAGACAAAGTCATGTACAGATGAATAACAGAGTTTGGGATCAGAGAGAAGCAGTGTTTGGGCGGTTATTTCATTGATTGCTAACGTGTGTCTACTGCAAATGAAAGACAAATGCAGAGCTGAGACAATCATGAGCAGCAGCACCTCACAGCAGATGACTGTGTGCATGAGCTAACGTTAGCTGACGGCTTCAGCTAGTGACGAGAATGCAATCAGGGTCAGAGCTCTCTGTGAAAGCGTCTTTCTGCGTCACTCACAATCCACCGCACTGCCGTGTTAAACTAAGCATCAGATTTTACTTACAACATCTTCAAGCTAGCAGCAGGAAATCCAGTTAAACAAAACACAACAGAATACAATACAATACAATACAATATGAAGGTATGGCTTTGTTAGGAATTAAGCATTATTGTTAAGCATTATAGAATATTATAATTATTATAGTTAATTAAAGTTATTTTAAAGTGATATCATAATTTTACTTCAATTTCATTTTAAGTTAATTTAAGTTCAAGTATATTTTTCTAATGCACTTTTTGCAGTACATATACTAAAATCAATATACTAGTAGTATAGTTGTATGTATTTCAATACTTCTTGTGACTGTGACTGAATTGGCCCACTTAGTAGTTTTTAAAACTTATACTTACTACTTTTAAGGGCACTTTAAGTGTAACTGTGGTAAACTTTGTGTATGCAATTAAAAGTGAACTTACTGTATATCTATAGTGTTAGTTTGCTAGTTGTATACTTTTCTCGTAGCCCACTTTTTAGTTTATAGAAGTACACTTTGAAGATACTTTCAGTAAACTATAGGTTTGAAAGGTTTTGATACTTCAAGTAAGTTTTGAGCTTTACTATTTCCTATATATTGTTTTTGCACTTTAATCATACTACTAGCTTCCTATTCAGGTATTTTTTTTTATACTTGATGTATACCTTTACCTATATGGCTAGAATAGAATAGAATAGAATAGAATAGAATAGAATAGAATAGAATAGAATAGAATAGAATAGAATAGAATAGAATAGAATAGAATAGAATAGAATAGAATAGAATAGAATAGAATAGAATAGAATAGAATAACACCTACAGAGCTGCTTCTAGGTTCTTTAAACAGTTCTTCAGCTTACTTGGTGTGTTAAGCATTGAAGAATGATATAATGTTTATTAACCTTATTGAACGTTATAAAATGATACCCAAATTTTGTCATTTTAAATGCATTATGTATATAATGCAGTAAAAAGAATTGCTTAAATACAATAATAAATATAATAATAATAATAATGGGTATCAATTGGGTAAATAATAAAAAAAGAAACATTGCTTAAATGCATAAATAATAATATCTAACATTGTTATTAACTACATGTGAGTATGGTAAGCTTACTTATGCTTTCATTAACATTCCATGTTAAGGTGAGTTCCTGTTTGTCCTTTTAGATCCTCTATAGTGCTTATAACGTTGCAAAAAGAAATAAATTTTATTAGGTTAATTTAAGTCAAGTTTAAGTATATCTTTCAAGTATGCTTTATGTAGTAAGTATACTAAAATCAGTGTACTAGTAGTATACTTGTAAGAGTACTAATCAACACTTCCTGTGACTAAACTGGCCCACTCTTTAGATTATACAAGTTTACTGTTAAATGTAATTTAAGTGTAACTGTGATAAACTTTGAGTACACAAATACTGTAGTTTATTTTTTAAGTTTTATTTGTGTACTTCAATACTGTGAATTATACTACAAGTGAACATATATGCATAGTGTTAGATTAATAGCTGTATAATTACTAGCTCACTTTTTAGTTTATGGAAGCTATTCCAAGTAAACCACTTTTTGTTTTATTTTATTTTATTTTATTTTATCTGCAGGTATGCTTGTAAGTTTTGAAGTAAACATCATACTGTCTTTATAGATATGTTGTACTATTTATGTATTCTTTTTGTTTTGTTTTAAGTATATACTAATAGGTTCCTATTTAAGTATTATTTTATAAAACATGAAAAATGCAGAGAATAGAATAGAATAGAATAGAATAGAATAGAATAGAATGTTATTTGTCGCATGACTCGCGCTGCATGGTGCATGTGCATGCCACTGCTCTTCCATGAGCAGTTCTTTGCATGCCACTGTTTGATGTCTCTGGTTCGGAGCGTGCTGGTGATAATGACGAGTGTTTCACACTAATGCAGATGACTAACTGTGGGCCTCTAACTCCTAATCTTCCACCCTATTTCTCTCGCCTGCTGTCAAGTTCTTGCAATGTATGAAAATGTTCTTAAGTGCCCTACGCCTGGCTGCACGGGCCGGGGTCACGTCAACAGCAACAGGAACTCTCACAGGAGGTGAGTTCCTCTCTGTCTGGATGAGAGAAACGCTTCTGTGTTCATTCTTAGCATCTTTATTTACTATGTCAAAAATCACAGCGCTGACTACTTTTTTCACTTTTCCTCAGCAAAGGTTTTATCTTTGGTTTCTGGTGGTACAAAGCATTAGTTTCTGATTTAATGCATCCAGATTTATAGTTACGGTTCTTAAATATTAAATGCAAATTTTATTTATTTATTTTTATGTTAAAATGCTTTACTACTACTTGAATGTGCAGAGGCTATAAGTAAGCTTGACTGTCTGAAGTGTGTAAATCATTTATTTGAACCCTAACCTTAACTTCAGTCTCGACTAAAGGTGTGACCAGTGCTTGCAGTACTTCTGATTACAAATTACATGATGACAATTGTAGTTAGTAATGTAATCTATTATATTACATGTTTTAGGTAATCTAATCAGACTATTTTGATTACATTTATAGTTTTTTTAATATAACTTATCACATTGATTTGTATAGCATTGTTTTGTATAACATTAATATAAAAATGCATTGACATTTACATACACAAGTGAAAGAAAAATATATTCCATTATTATTTTTTTAAAACAACATGAAGTGCATTAAACATCACATTACATCAGGGTTTCTCAAACTGGGGTTTATGAAAGAGCTGCAGGTGCTTCATGAGTTGATGATAAACTGATACATAAATCATAAAAATATAAAATTAAAAATAAATCAAAAATTTTTTTGTTTGTTTGTTTACCTGCATGTCGATGTGAGAATTATTGGAATTAGGGATCATCTAAAAATTATGAATAATTTACTGTATGAATAATATGTAATGTAATCAATAAAAAAAGTAACTATGATCTGATCATTTTAAAATGCAATATAATCTAATTTAAAGTACTTAATTTTGGGAATATGCTTACGTAATCCAGATTAAGTCTACTCACTCAAGTCACCTTTATTTTTATAGCACTTTATACAATAAATATTGTTTCAAAGCTGCTTTACAGTGTTAAACAAGAAAGTAACAGAACCAATAATGCAAACTGCAAAAAATACGTAAATCCAAAATCTACGACTAGTAAGATAACGTGTCATTTTTCAGCTCAACTCGGTTCGGTTCATTTGGATGACTGTGTAAAGTTCATTCATTATGAAACATGTTTGATTCAGCAATAAGCAGCTCTACTAACTCGACTATGTTGTTATTCAGCTCAAGTCAGTTCAGTGTTGAGATTCTGTATAATCAGTTACATATAATCTATACTCAGCACTGTGCGGGACTACCCGTTTTTCTCGAAATGTCCCAGACATGGATGTGTGTTTGGGAAACCAGTTTGGAATTTTTTTTTTTTACTTTGTTTGATGTTGCTAGTGATGTCTGATGTCAATGCAGGACTACGTTCATTTACTGAATTGATTGACAGTGATGAAAAATATAGAGTACTACAAATGTACATTGACTCAAGCAGCTTTTAAAGCAGCATGTTCTTCTGTGGAAGGCTTTGTGTGTGGCTTGTAGTGTGCTGATGAAATGGTTGATGCAGATATTTGAGGAGGGTGCTGCAGTAATTCTCTCAGCAGCTGCTGTGTGGAGCGTCAGCCATTAGCACCTCACTGACACCTCACCAGGGGAGACGGCCCGCTACAGACGGCTGCCACACACACACACACCTCACTTGTACTTGCAAGAGTGAAATTACATTTCCTACGGCCCAATAGAAACCTGGCAGCTTGCTTCATGAACACTCACACACACCTTCAGCTACTGCATCTCTGTGCTCTAAGATTATAGCACTACCTAGAGGAACCTTGTATTGCTCTCAGGTTACTTTTCTGTACACTGGGGAAAAAAAGAATTTCTTATTCAGTATTGTTTTGTCTTATACAGTGCTGTTTTGTCTTTGAATTCAGTTTATTGTTCATACCCCATTGACATTTTTTTTTTCTTCTTTTAAGTATAAACTCAAAACTTAAAATTAAACTTAATCAAGCTAAATTTTGATACATTTTTCTGAAAAAATGAATATGTACTAATAAGTACTAATAAATAAAGTAAGCTAATAAATAAGCTTTATAAGCTAATAAATATGCTAATAAACAGCCAATATGTTAATAATAGGCATGCTAATAAGCAACTAGTTAATAGTGAGAATTGGTCCCTATACTAAAGTGTTACCCAAAATACAAAAAAAAAATAATAATAATAATTTGCATTGTAGCTTGTGAGAATTAATAAAGTTAGTAATGTATGAACTTTGCTTTTTTTCTGTGCATTTCTGTGGAGACAAAAAAATTTACACAATTTAGTCAATTAACATTGATGTACAGTAAAAGTATAAATCAATAAAATAAAGTTTATTACCATAAATAAAGCTGATCATTTAAACTCAAATGAAAAATTTCAAAATGAAATCTTTAGCTTATAATAGCAGACATTTGTTTCTGGTTTTACGTCAGAACCCAGTGGCCGGCTGCATATAATGCTTAGAATAGTCTTACATGTTAGTAATCTAGTTGTTTTCTTTACGCCAGTTGCATAAAATGTAGATTTGTCTAATTTGAATCTGAAAAATAATAACTGCTAGTTGGTCAGACTAGCTCTTAAGACGCAGTTTTAACATACAGTAGATGTTTATGTAACTGGTCCCAGATTTTACAATTGTGACCCAACACAGTACTAAACCTAACCTTAATTTAATGTGGCCTGGGTCTTATTTTCTTGCATAGATTTGCTGAAGTGCCCAACCAAGTTTAGCAAATCACTGGTGAATTTCAACCAAAATATTATATATGGTTGAAACAATAAGGAAAATGTTTTTTTTTTTTTATTGCCTTTTTCTCAGGAAGCAGATCTGAGAAGCAGAAGAGTTTCTTCAGAGAAAGCTTCATTTTTTTCCCTTTGTAATCTTTATGAATGATTTAATACATAATCCACTGTTGTGCACAAGAAACAACTGAGACTTAAGAGTCTCAGTTCAATCACACAATCTTTTTATTTCTTTTTTCTTTTTTACAGATCACAATTTTGACCATCAGTATTCTAATTCTGACTTCACACTGTATAAAGCAGATTATAAGAGACGGATATCAGTGATGAGTCTAAAATGCACAGAAATGAAGATGGATGAATCGTCCCTGACTTGTCACATATTATCATGTCTTTTTAAAGACATGTCCCTGACATTTCTTTCTGTTCATCCAGCCTGTCGGGCTGTCCAATAGCGGCTGCAGAGAAGCTGGCCAAAGCCCACGAGAAACATCAGTCATGTGATGAAGGCAAATCCAACCAGGCTTCAGATCGTGTGCTCAGGTAACTGCTCCTCATTGCTTACACTGACACAACAGATCAAGCTGTGAATTTGCTTCTTAGCTGGAAACTGAGTACATTAAAATAGGCAACAATCTGTGTTGAATTTTCTGTGCAAAGTTCATGAAATGGAGAGTATGCATTCATTCATGATACACCATAGACCGCTGGTTGAATCTGTTCCAGGCCCATGTGCTTCGTCAAACAGCTGGAGATTCCACAGTACGGCTATAAAAACAACGTGCCCACTTCAACCCCACGATCCAACCTGGCCAAAGAGTTAGAGAAATACTCCAAAACCAACTTTGACTACAACAGCTATGACAGCACCAACATCTACAGCAAACGGCACACTGCTGCACTCAAAGTCCACAGTCGGGACACACTGCCCAAGACTGATGATGGTAAGACCACAGCATTCACGCGTCTGCGCTATGATATCAATACACGCCACTGTTCAAAAGTTTGGGGAAATCATTGTAATATGCTGATTTGATGCTCAGTTATTGTTAGTGAGCAATTATTAATAATGGTTCTTATTATTATCAATGTTGAAAACAGTTGTGCTATTTCATATTTTTGTGGAAACTGATACTTTTTTTTCTTTCAGTATTCTTTGAATAGAACGTTCAAAAGAACATTTATTTGAAATGGGCATCTTTTGTGAACTTTATAAATGTCTTTACTATCACTTTAATATTTTTAAATGTCATTGCCAATGTTTGTTATTGGTTATTGTTAACTAAAACTAAAACCATAAGAAAATAAATTGCTGAAAAATACTGAAATAAAATAGAATATTACATTTACATTTACATTTATGCATTTAGCAGACGCTTTTATCCAAAGCGACTTACAGTGCATTCATGCTATACATTTTCTACCAGTATGTAGAAGTATGTATGGTATATTATATACTATATAATAACTAAATAGTCTAAAACAAATTACTAAAATTACTAAAAACTCTAGACATTTTTTTAAATGACAAAAACAACAAAATTGCTAAAATAGAAATATAAAAATCTGAACATAAAGTCTAGTTCAAAATATTAATAAAAACTTAGTAGTATAAAACTTGGTAGTATAAATCATAATGACCCCGAACGTTCAAATTATAGTGGTGTATAAAATACACAGCAACCCCCCAAAAAAAAAAAATTATCTGGACACATATGTTACTGTTTAAAATGTCTGAATGTTATTGCATTAGATGATAGCAAAACATCAAAGTAAATGTTCTCTCAATTTCTGCAGGAGCTTTTCTCAGAATTAACTTTACTTTGCTTGAGCCATTTTTGTAATGACTTTTGACTAACAGAACCCCCCAAGGAACAGCTGTACAGTGACGCTTTTTTTTTTTTTTTTAATTAAACAGCAGGAAGTAAGGAAATATATGTTCTGTGGTGACAGGGGTGGATGGCCTGTCAAGGAAAATTGCAAAGATCTTATAACACCATAATTTATTCTAACAACATGAACATTTATGGACATAACATGTGTTATAGATTTCAGTTTAATAAAAAGGCTATTCCCACGTATCTGATTGAGACTCAAATCTGTAAAAGATTTTACAGAGTTAAAGCAGATTATAGAGCTGATTAATTGATTATTTTTCTGGATTACATATACCAAAACTATAACATATGTAAGCAATAAGGTACGAGAGGCCGTGCTGTATCGTGAATAAATCACGGCTGAAGGGCGTTGTTTGGCACAACACGAAGCGGAGTAATGACTAAAATATGACTAAAATAGTCACATTTTAGTAAAAAAAAAATTTGGGGGTCGCTGTGTATCTTATACACCACTACCATTTGAACGTTCGGGGTCATTATGATTTATACTACCAAGTTTTATACTACTAAGTTTTTATTAATATTTTGAACTAGACTCTAATCATCCGCTGTGTCATTTATTTTTTTAACACCATATATTATATTTTCTCACACACATACCTCTGCTTATCTCTCAGCATGAGAAAACGTCTGTTTTCAGTCTTTTATCATTAAAACAGACCGATTCGCGGTACAGCGCGAGTTTGCAAGTGTCATTACAGTGTAAACTGATGGACATACAGAATCATACCTGAAACAGAAAACTAATAAATTCAGCAATATTCCCTCCTCACTTCGGAAACTGTAGGCTTCCACACAGGAAGCCTACAGCGCACACATCAACATATCTCCGCGTGAGAAGCTTTTATTAGACTGGGGAGTCTATGGGATTGACCCCCTTTTGCAGCCAGCCTCTAGCGGCCAGTCGATGAATTACAGTTTAAGTCACTTCCTTGTTGGCTTCACGACAGAGAGCGGGAGGTTGCCGCTTGGCCAAAATACATAATAAATGAAACAGTTTTGATGCCATATTATTGATTGTTTCTGTTGCTAAGGGTGGTTGCTAAGGGTGTTGCTCAGTGATACACAGAACCGTTGGGTGAAGCGGTCATAGCTGTGCTGTATCGTGAATGAAACACAGCTGCTGACCAATCAGAATCGAGGAATGGAACTAACCGTTTTATAAAAAATTATAAACAATGGGAAAAAACCCTGAAAGACATTCAACCAAATCCATTGAATATAATTTTATTTGTGCACCAGATGTTAAAAGCCAAGTGTGTAGCATTTTATTTTATTTTAGTATCATTGAGATACTATTGTTTACTTTTTTTTTTTTTTTTTTTTTTTTTTTTTGTATATTTAATAGTTGTATTTTTGTAATTTTTATTGTTTTTTATGTCCACTGTTATTATTATTATTTTTTCTAGTTATAGTTTTAGTTATTTTAGTATGTAAAGTTAATTTTTTAACTACCGAAAATGCTTTTAATTGTTTCAGTTTTAGGTAATTTTAATAACCCCGGCGGGTAGTTATTATTAGTGAAAGTATGAAGTCAGTTCTCTATAACTTCACACAGCAGAGGAACCACAGCTGTAGTTCATCACTTGGACTATAAGCTAACAACTACAGTGTATGTCGTCTTTTGCTAGATCTATTGTTTTATCATTTCAAACTATTTCAAATAAATGTCAAGTTGGTTTGATATTATTTTGTCCCATAAAGCAAAGAGTAAGTCTTAAGCATCCAAATACTTTTTGTAGCTGATGTATGATCGTTATTATCACCATGACTCCTGAACATATGACAGTGTTAAGGTCTGAGAAAACTATAATGCTTGGTGAGGAGCTAAACCCTGTTAGAAAAGCCTCCGAGATCTTCCTTCAACTGTATTTCTGAGGTATGGAAATGTATGGAAATGATCTGGAGGCAGATGCATAATGAATGAGGCGGTTTAGGCAAATCACAGTCTGGATTTAGGGCTGCTGCTAATTGCAATTCTTTGCGTAAGACTGTGAGATCCCCGGCCATGCTTTAATGACCAGACTGGAGGGAGAAGATAGAGTAAAAGGAAGGCAGAAGAGAGAGATAGCGAGTGATGGCAGCAGGACGCCCGGTGGGAGATGTCACTTTGATGCCCAGCTGGTGGTTGTGGCTCATTGTGTCTTTTGTCAAATTGCAGAGAGTGTCTCTCCGTCTCTCACCTACATCCCGACACCCCCCTCACCACCCCATCATTTAAAATCTCCTCATAATAATCAAAATCATCATAGTAAACAAGCCTTTCTTCAGGAATTTGACTACAGGACACGATCTAACGTACAGAGTTTCCATGCACTTTATTTTACAGTATGTTCACTTACAGTGTACTTACTTGCCCCAAAGTACTGAGTACGTAATATAAGCTAACTACACTGTAAAAAAAACAATGAAGATAAAACAATGATTGTACATACATTTTACAAGAAAATACGGTTTCAGTCTTTCTGCTTCCAAATTGCATGCTTAATTCAGTGAGTAACTTGTTAATTATTTGTGAAATTTACTAGCAATTTCAAAGTAAATCCTAAGCAATCTTTCATGTACATGGGTTACTGTTAGGTTTAGGCTAGGCTTTGAGTTAGCACCTAGTTATTAGCTAAATATTGCAGCTGCTACAGTAAGTACATGCATAACTTTATTTTAGATGTCCTTGTTACATTGTAATTACTCAAATATGTACTCTGTAATATTAATTAACAACATGTACTTACATGGGTCATGCCATTTCTTATACAAGGCTGAAAAATGGACTGTGATTATTTTGAATCCTTTCCAATATAATTTTTTATTTATTATCATCGTTTCCTGAATTTTTACTGTGCATTTTGTAATTGCATCAGTAGCATGCCAGCCAATATGTGACCCTGGAGCACAAAAGCAGTCTTAAGTCGCTGGGGTATATTTGTAGCAATAGCCAAAAATACATTGTATGGGTCAAAATTATCCGATTTTTCTTTTATGCCAAAAATCATTAGGACCTTAAGTAAATATCATGTTCCATGAAGATATTTTGTAAATTTCCTACTGTAAATATATCAAAACTTAATTTTTGATTAGTAATATGCATTGCTAAGAACTTCATTTGGACAACTTTAATGGACAACCATACATCAATGGAAAGCTTATTTATTAAGCTTTGAGATGGTGTATAGATATCAATTAAAAAAATTGACCCTTATGACTGGTTTCGTGGTCCAGGGTCACATATGCTAATAATATGCATGCTAATAAGCAACTGGTTAGAACTGGTCCCTAAACTGAAGTCTTACTTTTTTTCAAAAACTTATTCAACCTATTAATAAAATAATAAAAAGTATCTCAATAATAGTATCAGTAGTTCCTAGATCTAAACTAAGATGCAGGATGATCGTGCTTTTGCTGCAGCAGCTCTGAAAATGTGAAACAAGAACTGTGCTAACAATTTTTTTGTTTTAAATGTAAGCTGTAAACATATTTCCTTTCTCAGGCTTTTAACCAACCCTAGTGGTGTTGTGTGTGTGTGAGCTATGGGCCCAGCAGCAGCAGCCTGAGCTGTGGAGGAGGAGGAGGAGCGAGCAGCGCCAGCAGCACCTGCAGCAAGAGCAGCTTCGACTACACACACGACATGGAGGCGGCGCACATGGCTGCTACCGCCATCCTCAACCTCTCCACCCGCTGCAGAGAGATGCCCCAGAGCCTGAGCGGGAAAGCCCTGGAGATCTGCACGCAGGTACACACACGGCCACAATATCAAGCCCCTTTTATACTTGCTCAGACATTTTTACTTTATCATTATCCATTACCTTATTGCACATTATTAATTCTTGATATATAACTAATCTGGAGACCAAGCATATAGTAGAGCTCATCTCTGAGATGTCAACACTGAAACAATTATTCTCCATTGTGTGAAACAAATACTAGCAATTATACTAGAAAACAAAGGGAGTTTTTGACGCATACCAGTTAAAGACAGAACCTCCTGCTAACACTCAGTCTGAAGATAGATTGGAGAAAAAGCAGCACTGAACACAATGAATGTTATTTGTGTGGGATATAGGAGCTATATCCTCAGATTAAGCACAGACACTCATCCAGCATGAAAGAGGAGGAAAGGAGAGTTGATAGTGTGTGTTTGGTGTTGTGTGTGTGTGTGTGTGTGTCATATCTTGTGTTTTATGGATTGTACAGCACATTGGTTTAAATTTCAAATAATTGTGAAATTAAATACTAATAATACAACAAAATGTAGACCAGAAGTGTATTTTGTGAGCTGTCCCATACGTCTGCACATATAGGGCTTATGTTAAAGTCACTGCTCTGTGTGTCCCGTCAGTGAAGCGCTACTGCAAGAGCTCCAGTTCGGCGAGCAGCACCACCAGCAGCTATGGGCCCAGCAGCAGCAGCCTGAGCTGTGGAGGAGGAGGAGGAGCGAGCAGCGCCAGCAGCACCTGCAGCAAGAGCAGCTTCGACTACACACACGACATGGAGGCGGCGCACATGGCTGCTACCGCCATCCTCAACCTCTCCACCCGCTGCAGAGAGATGCCCCAGAGCCTGAGCGGGAAAGCCCTGGAGATCTGCACGCAGGTACACACACGGCCACAATATCAAGCCCCTTTTATACTTGCTCAGACATTTTTACTTTATCATTATCCATTACCTTATTGCACATTATTAATTCTTGATATATAACTAATCTGGAGACCAAGCATATAGTAGAGCTCATCTCTGAGATGTCAACACTGAAACAATTATTCTCCATTGTGTGAAACAAATACTAGCAATTATACTAGAAAACAAAGGGAGTTTTTGACGCATACCAGTTAAAGACAGAACCTCCTGCTAACACTCAGTCTGAAGATAGATTGGAGAAAAAGCAGCACTGAACACAATGAATGTTATTTGTGTGGGATATAGGAGCTATATCCTCAGATTAAGCACAGACACTCATCCAGCATGAAAGAGGAGGAAAGGAGAGTTGATAGTGTGTGTTTGTGTGTGTGTGTGTGTGTGTGTGTGTGTGTGTGTGTG